GTATTTGCTATTATTTTGCCTCAACAATTGTGGTCAGCACAATATTTCAGTAATTCCTAGAAACGTTAATTTTGTTAGCTGCTGGAATAAAAATGGTGAGAACTTGTTGAGCCCTTTCTGCACTATTTCTCTACCAGCCTTTTCTTACAGCCACACTCATTCACATCTGCTTCCTTTCTGCATCCCTGAGGCAAAGGCTGTTCTGAGGAACAATGTCCCATTTGCTGTGTGAGGTAGGCCTGGGACACTTACTGTGTTATCACTCTCATGCAGTCTGGTGAGGCTCATAGGATCTCTGATATTGTCCTGGATTCTCTGATTAATTTCTGCTTGTTGAAGAAACAGCATGAAAAACTTGTATGATATCTCTTAGAGATAAGAATTGTTGATGACTGATCAAAACAAATGGTATATTATGCTGATACATTTAAAATAATAGTAGGAGATAAATATGTTTACTGAACCAATGATTGTGATATCTATGAAATGTAATATAGTTGCTATGCCTATTGGTTTGGTTACGGCCTGATTGGAAGGAAATAAAAGCTAAGGAGAAGGGTGGTGTAGCTGAAAGGGACTTATATTCAGGAGTCTGGAGACTTCAGTTCTACCTCTACACTTACAAGGCAAATTGCTGAGCCCTGTGCACATCATTAAACAGCAGCCAATCATGAATTTCCATTTCTCCATTAGTGCATTTTCTTTTTGTTTGTTATTTTCTACTTTTTTAGTTTTATATTTGCCCCCTCATTATTTTCCCAAGCAGACTCATGTCACATGCATTTCCTTTTTATTATAGGGTTTAAGAATTCTATTTATCATTCCCTGTCTGATTAGCCCAGGAATTTCACACTGGATCAAAATGCATCCATATCACTAAAGAGTGGCACTTCTATCACTCACTAGTTGATCAGACTCATGAACATGACTTGGTAGGGGCATATCTTGTAGTAGGAGATTGGGGCAAATGAGAAAATGGGTAAGCATGAAGAAGAAGGAAAGTGGGAGAGTAATGGGTCATTGACGCTTTGTGAAACTGGTCCAGATCCAGTTATTCTGGGCCTCTTATGGGCATTGAAAGCCTTTTTTTGTGCATCTCTAGCTCATGTATAGAATTTTAAATATTATTATTTCAGAGTACCTTTCAGAAGGATAATACAATGGAATAGAAAATACACTGAGTCCAGGAGCTCACACCCGCAATCCCAGCACTTTGAGAGGCTGAGGTGGAAGAATTGCTTGAGTTCAGGAGTTTGAGACCAGCCTGAGCAACACAGCAACACCCCATCTCCAAAAAAGAAAAAGAAACACATTGAAACAAAATATCTCTAGAAACTCTGTTCAATTGAAACCATATCCATGTAGACTTCAGAAAATGTTTCCAAGGTCATAAATTTCAGGCAAGCATCTTAAGAGAATGAATGAGTAAAAGCAAACACATCTCAAAAGATGGGGAGGGCCAATCAACTCACATACTTTACACTAGCAGTTAACATTTGCCTTTACCTCTACCTCTTCATAATGCTCTAATGTAATTATAATGCATAGAATATACACTGTTGTTTTACTCACTGCTCAGTATACCTATCTTCTTTTCTTATATTTGAATTTTAATATTTCAGCAAAATGAACTAATAAAAGACAGTTTCCTAGCAACATGTGTATTCAAAGGAACAACAACAAAGCTTAATCACAAACACTTTATTTTCTCCAAAGTTAATTCCTGTCTTTTGAGGGAAGTTAGCAGGTAGCAAATAAAGCAAGGTGCAAACAGAGACTCTTGTAGGAGAGGCTGGCACAGCCTCACTTGGCTTTTTCTTCCTAGGCATTCAAGGGTAGGATGGTTAGATCTAAGCCAGTCTTTTCCAGTGGTTGCAGTCAGGGAGATTGATACAAAACCCCAGAACCGTATGCTCTTTTATCCATCCTTTGCTGGAGATGCAGATTGATGGGTGGAAGGAACAGTGAACTAGGAAGCCAGGTTGTTGAATTCCTAGTAACTCTCATACACTACCCGCGAAAACTTGAGCGGGTCCTCTTTTCCTGGGCTGTGTATCCAAACGGCGGTTACTTTAGAAGACAAAAGTGAAAGGTCCTTCCCAGCAGCTCAAAACCGCTACCAGAAACCGGTTTCTTTCTTTCTTTTCTTCTTCTCCTTCTTCTTTTTCCTCCTCCTCCTCCTCCTCCTCCTCCTCTTCCTCCTCCTCCTC